GCACACACACACACACACACACACACACACACACACACACACACACACACACACACACACACACACCTACCTTGTGAAGAATCTAATGTCCTTGTCGGAGGATGCAAAACGGTGAATGCCGAACCGCTGCCTCAGCGTCAGGCTCTCAACCTGTTCCCGTAGCTGGCGGACTTCCTCCCGGAGATGATTATTTTCCTCCAGCACTGAATCCACAACTGCAGGGTCTGGACTAGCAGCATAATCGTGATCCTTATGGGTGTCTACACTGGCTGTTGTATTATCTTCCTCCTCGCTGTCCTCTGGAGGTGGTCTTTTCCTTCTCTCCCAAACCGCGGGTCTTGGAGGTGGAAGGGAGTAATTATTCCATTCAAACAAAGCAGGTACAGCTCCCTTTCTTAACATCCGTCTTCCCTTTTCGGATACTGGCTCTTGAATGTCCTCAGGTTTGAAATGCCGACTACAAACGCGGGTGTGAACTTTTAAAGCTAAGTTTTCCCTGCGGATAGCCACGGTCCATTGTCGCCTTAACTCCTCATCGGCAGGAAAATGGAAAAAACTAACTACTCTATTGTACCTACTGGTTAGTGGACACAACGGCACACAACAGAACTGACTTGCAGTGCCAGTAGATCGCAGACGCTTTCCGTTTTGAGTCTTTTTCATGGTTACTACTAGTAGCTTATGCTAAAAACAACTGCAGTGGATAGGAGCCGGAAGTGATGGACCCTTCTGAAATTTTAACGGAAGTACGTCACCACTACCCGTGGCATATAGTCTATTTTGGGTAAAGTTTGGTGAATTTTCAGATATGTTAACCTCTCCAAATTAATGCTTCTTTTCGGAAAAGAATCGTAATAATAAACAGAGCAATTACAATAGGCCTTCGCAGCACTTCACTGCTCGGGCTTAATGAACAGTCCTGCAGTAAATACCAACTTTGTGAAGGTTATGGTGTTAAAGTAATTTTATTTAAACATCTTGATTCAGCTGTTATTGATTAAGAGAAGACAGAAAATGACTTGTGACTTTGTGATACTTTGAATGCAACATTCAGTAGTTCTGTGAAGTCATTCTGTGGTTTAGCTGGAAAACATTAAAAAAAAATTTACTCATCTCCACGATCACGTTTTTCTTTAATGATAATGTCACAATTGATGCTGCAGTTTTTGACAAAGGAGCTATAACTTGAACTAAATTAACCACAGCAATCTCTCAGAAAAAAGGCTAAATATTTTCTAGTTGATATAGTTCAGTAACTGGAATTACCATAAAAAATTAGAAAATGATCAGCTTTCAAAATTTAAGCTGTAATGGATATTTTAAAATGCTGAATTAGACAGAAATAGACCTGTTTAAACAGTCATGATGGCAGAGTTAGCTGCAGTTAAAAAACAACTAGCAAGTTAACATGTTTCATTAACTAAAACTGGCGACATGAAGTATTAATGTGGATAAATTGTGGTACAGAACAGTCAGATAACGCTTCACAATGGAGAAAAAATGTCGTATTTTCATCAACTTACCGGACAAACACGTCTGAAACATGGAGAATGAACTACGTTCAATGATGGGAGCTGCTGCTGTTTGAATGATTTGCCACTGCATGACCCACGTGACTTCAGCAGTCCAATCTTTCTATAGAAGTGTATGGGAGTGTCGCAACTCTCTCTTTATACAACTCTGGTTTCAGTAGTTTCAGGCTCTGCAAGCCATAAAGGCTGTCAGTGAACATCAAGACCCAAATCCAGCTGATCCTGATTCTGTTCAAATGTCAATTAAAAGTTACATTCTACAGATTTATATTGATCAGTTGAAACATTTAGCAGCTCCATCCTTTCACACCTTGTGTGTCTGAAAGGACAGTTTGGACCTTATTTAAATTCAAGAGGTGGTCAAAGAAGATGAAAAGTGTTCCAGGAATTATCGGAGTGCAAAAAGGTTTTTACTTCGTTGTTCACAGATGAGACACGGTGCAGTCAAATGTCCATTTATTAAGACAACAAAAACACATCAAACATCACTCAAACCTAACTTCTGCTTGTTGTTTTGAATGTTGCTTTTTTCTTTTATATCACGTTCTGAATCAAATCTTGAATTATTTTAAAAACGATTCAGCCTTTTTTAGTCCACCTCTGGCAACAGTCTGCATCCTGAAGCCTGACATGGCTCCAGAGATCCAGGACGTGTGTCTGCGCTGAGATGGAGCTGGGCTCACTTCCAGGTTCGGCTGCTCTGGATTCTGGAGCTGGTTTTGCTCGCGGAGGAGGACGAGCTCAGACGACCCGAGGCTGTTGACGGGACACGACTAGTGGTCAAGCAGCTGGACGTGCGGCCTGTGGACAGACGCAAGGACATGTGTGCAAGACAAACTGGGTTTATAAGTCAGGATTTAGATGTGGAGTCTCAAGCTCAATTTTATAAAATAATTTACAAAATGGGATTTAAAACTTTGTAACAGCAGAAATGCACAAGTTTATTCTGATTATCGCTCTCCAGCACTGAATGTGGGTGATCATGTCTGTTAGCAAAATATGTCATGAACCAGTGGATGGATTAAAAAATGATTGAAGTAAACTGACGGGGTGTTGGTGTCAGCCTAATTCATAACGGCTGCCACAGCGTTCTTTCAGCTTTCTAGACTTTAGAAAACAAAGAGTTCAAACAGTCAGTCTGACACATACTGAGATAAAAACAGTGCGGCAGTAGCTGACAACTAGAAAGTTCCTGGAGAAACTTTGACGAGGACTGCCAGACTGCTGCCATTTAAATTTTGAGTTGACAGTACTGTGTCATCGTTTGCGCTCAGGTATCAATACACCACATTTCAGCTGAATAGCTCTAAAAATGGCTGAGTTATCATATTTTTCCCTTTTTAGCTAAGGGGTCCATCTTGGATTTGGGTTCAGATAGCAATATAGATATAACTATAGCAACACAGCATCAGTACAAGCTAGCAAGCGTCCATCAGGACACTAAAGATCCATCGTTAGACTGATGGTTCTAGATCATGTGAACAGCTGGTTCTGGATGTCAACAACAAACTGGTTGATCCACTATACAAGTGATCCTCACTATTTTTTTTTTTTTTCAAAAGAGCCATATTGACCGATCAAAGTCAAGGGGAGAGCTGTGATATCACCCCAAGTCACTCAAAGAAAATAATAAAATGAAACAATCCACCTATGAAGTAAAAAGAAACATAGCCAACACATTATCTGTTTAAACAAAATGTATCTTAGTACTGAGATGAGAAGCTGTGTCCTCTACTGTCTTCATGTTGTATTTGTAATTTGTTGTTGCAGCCACACTGAGACATTCAAGATGGACATGGGTCAGCCGGTTTCTCTGTTTTTGTTTGATAGTGTTCATGGTTGAAAATGTTGACTGTGTAAAAAACACAAGTCAACAATAACAATGAAAACCAGAGTCCATGCTCAACTATGAATGTGCTGTAATATGTGTACGGATGAAGAGGCCCCCCTTCACATTTCCTCCTGCCCCCTCATGTAACCATGCCTAGAACCGGCCCCGTAATTCTGCTACTTCCTTCACCACAGATGACAGAAGGTGCGGAGACGTGCGCGGCTGGCGATGATCAGCTGATCCAGCTGAGGTTAACAGGACTTCTTTTTTTTTACCTCTACCAGCTGGTCGGACCTTCCTCCTCCTCAACAAGTAGATTAACACAATATTATTTGTAAAACCGCACCAAAGAAGCCCGAGCCAACATGTACAATTATTGAGTAATGTGCCAGAACGTTTTAAAAATGTACTGGCTGTGCTGGTGTATTGTTGTAACCAGTCACAGAGCCAACAATAAAGCATGGCGAGCTGCATGTGGCTCGGGAGCCGCGCAATGAGTATCCCTGCACTATGAGAAGGTGCTATAAGACTGAGCTTGTTGCAGCTCCTCAGACTGAAGAAGTTCTTACATACCCACACACAGCGCCACTGGGTGGCAACAATACCCACATGAACCTTTTTCTATCCAAGCAGGACACTCAGAGCTCCTCACAGCACCATCTGTGGAGGAGGCCTGCTCAAACCGCTGAGCCACAGAGTGTGTTTCATACAGCTCCCAGTTTCCTAGGATCAGATATTACTGGCTACAGGATTCGTATGATGAGTTAGTGTGAAGATTCTGTGTGTCAGGAGATACAAACATAGCAGAAACTCTGAGTTTGTAAAAATCCCAGTGTAGTGTAGACAGTTACTGTTGGAGTTGGTGGGGAGGGGCGTCTCTTCCAGCTGCTCCTGGATCTTTGTCAGCTCATCACATGTGAACCTCCACCTCCTCTCCGCTGTCTGTGCTAGCTGCTGTGGAGCAGAGCTTCTCCTGCTCTTTGAGGTGGGGGAGGACAGGCACGAGGCTGGGAAGGAGCCCGTCACCATTCCACTGGGAAACTTCTGAGCGATGACCTTGAGACCTTGGAGTGAAGGACAAAGACTGGAGCTGAGCAGAGGTGACTTTAAAGACCCGTTTCAGACGGGATGATGAGTTGCAGCACAGAAACAAGACACCTCACCTCCACTAAGCATGAAGAGATTGTCAAAGCCCCGCTGACACATGCTGGTGGCCGCCTGGCTGCCTAGAATCTCGTCCTCATCGTACACAACGATGATCTTCCCTGGAGAATTTTTCTACTCAGCGTGTTAAGTGTGTTGTCAGAAGAACGGGGCAGACCTCAAACATTATGTGATGTGAAAAACAAAATGTTTCCAGTGATGGAGGATACATATTCCAGCATTTCTTTGGTGTAGGGGTTCATCGTTCGAGACAGCCTGGCCACAGGGAAACTGTGCGCTGCAGAACAAAACAAATGTGCTTCTGCTCATAAACTCTTCTAACATGGTCCTACAGCCATTCTGAAGAGGACTGTGTGCAAAAATGATGAACCTGTTGTGGAGAACTCTTTGAACAAGCTCACTTTATAAAATCAACAAAGGACTGAAGAGCTAACAGCTAGTCTGAACACAGCCAGGATCCAGGTGGAAACCCCAAGACTTCACGTGTTTTAATCAAAGTTCTGTGGTCAGTGCCGTGGTCTTGTAATCCTGAGGTTGTGGGTTCGAGCCCAGGTTGCATCAGGAAGAGCATCTGGCGTTCAAAATGTTTTATGTAATTTTGCTCACTGATCTGTCTTATAAGTAGCATGTCCTTGATGTGTTTCAGCCTGCTGGGGAGCTTTAACACATGTCACTGTTATGCATGATGATCCATTGTTTTGGACGGATGCTCTCTTTTTGCATGTGTAAAGCTAGTTAAGTAAGCTAAGAGCTAGCTAGTTTGAAACACATCAAGGAGGTGCTATTTACGTATAAGACAGATGTTGGTGGCAGGCCTCAGACTGATGAAGTCTTTTGGATGAAAGACGAAATATTTCTCCCAAAAACAAACTTGTCCAGATGACCTGATTGAAACTTTTTTGTGATTAGCTGATGTACCGTTCTTTCACACTGAAATGTTGCTTTATTAAAAAAACACTTGTTTTAAAACCTAAAAATTGTAAACTTGCTATTGTGCCCCTGGGCACTGAAGCTCACAGGCCCCCACTCACTAACCCAACACCAATTATATATAGATATATATATAT